GCACGCATACACACTGCACGGACTTGCTTACTCTTGCCTGCAAATCAAAACACCTTCATCGAAGTGGCGTTTGATTTGGTGATCTGCAAACAGGCATTTGGCTCCCTCGCAGTGGAACACGAGCCCTCCTTCATATGCGTGAACTGTCAACGTTACCCACGGAAATGTAGACATGAACAGCCTCAATGTGGAGGCAAAAGCACTGCAGACATTTGGAACGGAGCTCCTTTTTGGGAGTAGTTTATAAGTGGGGTATTAATTGCCTAAATATCAGGATTTTCCGACACCGGAAATTATGTTGATACTGAAGAGCCATTGCCTCATGTGGTGCGGCCTCACCATAGCCTGCAAGCCTCGGCAACTATGCTGATTGATGGGTCAAAGTAGAGCTTCCTAAGTTGTCAAAATCTAGATCAAATTGTGATGAGGACGCTGCCTATGAAGAAACTGATCTCGGTTTCGGCATCTGTGCACAAATTTAGGCGAAACTTGTAAGGCGATACAATTTGGAAGAAAAACTACTAAAGATCCTTTAAAATATTTAAGAATACAGGCGATAAGAAATAACTTTGTTTTCCAAATGGATGTGATAAGGTTTACCTGGATGGGCATTAAGAAACTAAGGCTTTCGTTGGATGCAATGCTGGGCAGTGTATTGGAGGAGGGAAAAGGGCTATTGAGCGAATTATTGGAAGTATTGCAAATCGAATGGACGCAAAGATGAGCTTTCTAAATGTTTTACATGAAAATGAAGTAGCATCTAAAAAGACTGGGTAAACCAGACAAGGTGCTGATTTAGAGTTGAACATGCCTTGAAATTTACCAGTATTTTGATTGCGCCCAAGATAAACGGGAAATTGCAAGAACATTCTTCTTGATTGTCCGTAGTTTGAAAGAATGAGGGGGAATAGTTTAGAGTCTAACAGAATGGAGAAAAGGATGGATTACGCAAAGCTGAGGAAAAGTGCAGAGGATTTTGAAGTGAAAAGGTTGGGTTTAGTGCCCCATCGCAATTTTTGCAGCGCAAAACCGTAAACTCCTGCTAAAGCTTCTGAGTTGCGAATTGAACCCGCTAGCCGAGGGAGTTGGTTTTGCAGAAGTGGACAGCTATGCACCCAGTGACGCGGGATGGAGGTGAATCGCGGATTGCTCGTTCTTCCAAAAGTTGGGGGCGTTTAGCGTAGTCCTTGTCTTTGTTGGTAATATCATCAACGGTGTACGGAGGTCAGGGTTCACGCTAGTTCCGAGTACGTTTCTTCCTGGGGAATGGATGACATCCGTTCTGTCACGGGACGCATATTCGCTGAACGCCTCTCGCCTAGAAGGTGTAACCAAACAAACACGTATTCCAAATCAACCAAACTATTCCACTAACATCAAGACGTGGTTACTTTTTTGGGCTTTGATGATCTCTGATACTACCGAAACTGCTGTAGCAGTCGTCAATGTCCTGTAAGGCGTCTAACTCAAATAAATGCATCCTACGAAAAATGAGTAATACTGGGACGATGAGAAAGGCTAAATTAGTTCAGCGTTAATACCTTCTAGACGACAGTCTTTTAAATGATCTAAACGCATCCTGCATACCTCGGTGTGCCTAGCCAACCATTCAAGATCCGACCACGCAATATATATAACACTACGGTAATGATAGATCAAACGATAATGCAGGTACCGCTTTGGAAAGGAAGAGAGGGAGTAAGTGGAAACGGGGATACACGGAGGGAGAGGTCTTAAACGTGAACGTACGAGGTTTGTGTTAGAAGACAAAGCCTGATACTCTGCAAGGATGTTCATTTAAATGGGGCAGAATTCAAGGGAGTGGTGTAGACTGTGTGTAATCACAGTGCTATTTGCATCTAACAATGAAGGCAATGACTTCTAAACTGTGATCCACGTTAAGAGACAAGTCATCTTAGTGATATTTTCTTCACTTCATTACAGGCGCCAGTATGATCAGGCTTTGATATTCATGATATCTTCCTCTGCTGCCAGTTTCACCAGTCTTCCTCTAATCTTTAAAATAGTCGTAACGCCTGATGTAGAAATAAAACAATTCACTAAAAAATTCAGTTTTGGAAATGCTCACTCGTCTTACAGTTTCACTTGTTCTCCCTTCGTTCGGCAGTCTCGGTCGATGCCACCCAGGTGCCTCAACACGGCTTGCCAATCGGAAAGGCAATGCCAGCTAATTGTTCATACTCCTACCTTTCCACTGGTTCTAAATATGCCAACAATGAGAAGAATTCACTGCACCAATAGATATATACAAGTTTTATGGTGCAGAACCAGCAGACGTCTCCATGCAGTCAGTGTTGAGATATGCGCCTTATGCCATATGGACCAAACTGAATCGGAGAACGTTATACGGTCCTGATGAGGGCCACTTCATTCACTCCAGATTGTTCAGCTAATTCTCCTATTGTAGCACCTCTGGATGTCAAATTATCATTTAGTTTTAAGGAGCCTTTCTTTGCATTTAAGCTTGGTGCTTGTTTTTATTTGGTGGTTCGTTTCACGGGAGAATATGGGTTGTGTAGCAAGGTCCTGTCATCACCGTCTAGGAGACACGTAACCTGGTTGCACGTCCCTTGGAATGATTCCTCCTATTCGGTGAGTTACAGTTTGTGGGACTTGACATTGCAAATGGAGAGTCAACGCGTAGGCCCAACAGCTCCACTTCTCCTAATAATAAAAAAGTTGAATCATGTGTGACCCATCACTTCTTTTTGCATGTTGATTACAAATTATCCACAAATCTTGGGTTATATTTTACCATGAACCCATAATCAGAGGAAAAAATGGTAAGTTTCTTAATTTTAGTAGGCAGGAATTGGTTTCTGCATAAGTTGAGATCAGTTAAAGAAATCTTTCTCAAGACGTGTTTCAAATGTTAGTCCACTAAACATTAGTAAAAGTTTCATTCTTTCACAATCAACTATTTCGAATGCCTTGAGGCATGCGAGATCTCCAATCTGTGGAACCGAAAGAAACAACTACACTAGGAGTAAAAAAGAGCAGATCTCTGATTTAAAAGCCAATACATCAACTAGGATCTTTGACTGAACTGTGTGTCTGGCTTTAAAATTTTGCTTCAAATATGCGTGTGATCAATGGAAATAATGGTGGGATCCAGCTCCTAGAGAGGTGAGGATGGAAGTGGGGATGGAGAAAGTATCTGAAGCAGTGTTCCTAAATCTGAACCTATGACATTCTATTTAAAATGTGGCAGCGACCCCACAAGCAACATAATTGACAGGCCAGTAATTACACGTGCGTCATTGATGGGTCATTCCATGTTTATTGATATAGATGAGCCTACGGGGAAGGTCATTGAGTTTCACCATTGCCCTTCAGTTGTCTACCACATCTGGTGGGGTAGGACTAAGAAAGTTTAGCAGTGGAAGAGCGGATGCCGCGTCATGATCCCTGTAAAGGACAAGTTCAAACAAGTCTATCACTTGCAATTGGAGATGATGGAGAAAGTGGTCGTGAACACCGCGGTAGAACTGAAAATACTCAACCCCACAACTGAGACAATTTATTCATTACGCAATAAGCAGTGTTAGAAAGGAGTAAGGCAAGACATACTGTTGAATTGATGTCCATCAGAGTGAAGTTGGAGAATGGCTTTGGGTGTTTAGGTGAGAAAGGGAGGATGTGTTGTAACTTAAATGACTCCAGGCGAATCCACCAATCAAATCAACAAATGTGAAGGTGGCCAGAGACACTGCAACGGCTAGAGCCATGATCCGGAATGAGGGAGACTAAACCTTTTTATCCCCGTGGAGAAAGAAGACATCGGTCATGACTAAGACAGCCGCACACACAATAGCAATGCCAGTGGCCGTCTGTCTCTCTTCCCATTACCTACGTGCCTAACTACTGTCTACTTACCATTACAATGACCCACCCCTGTATTTGCCAACTTCGTAAAATATAAGACAAGGCGCCTTAATTCGCAGTCTGCAAGTCTTTAGAAGCAAAACCACACATGACATAAACAGTGCCGTTGTAATTTCCACTGGTTACTGGCATCATATACGCGCACAGCCAAAGAAACAGCAACAATAAAGCATAAGAAAATTAAATTAGTTCCATTATCTTTGACAATTAGGTAGTTGACACTACAATACCAAATTGGAACACAGCCTCTCCTTCTTTTAGGCTAGACTGGATCATTAGGCTAATGGAGGTGAGATGACCTAAAGAGGAAGCAAGTGACAAACGACTTGCTGCGTGCATCCAAGTGACTGTGCTACATACCAATGGAATAGAAGGGCAAAATAACACCTTCACACCAGCAATACTTTAATTTAACCACTTAAAAAGGGTATTTATGCTTGCGCGAAGAGTAGTCCTTTGAGATGACCAATCAAGACAATGCAAGACAAAGGTATAAAGGTCATTGTGATCTTCAGTGTTTAGTTGTCAAATTAAATGTGAGAATGACAGAGAGAGCAAAGGTGGCAAGAAAGGCAACGAAAGTGGGATCACGTTTGCACAATAGCAGACTCCAACGATGGAGAGAACAACGGAGATGACTGCTAATAGAGGGGCTGTAATCGTGCTCCAGGAGGAGTAGTCAAACAGAATTAGGAGGATAAGAATAATGCCTGCGTTGAGGACAACCAAACGGCTGTTAAGAGGAGGGCACCTATTGCCTTGTGATAGGGATAGCGGACACACTGGCCAAGTGGAATGCTGCCTCCACAATTCCAGCCATCATAGCCGATGGCGAAGAAGAACAGAAAAGCAACCAAAAGGGCTAAAATTACGTACACCACCTTCCGATCCATAGTTCCTGTGGCCTCGTTCTCCTCCTCCTCCCCCTCCTTGTCCTTCGCCCTCTTCTCCCCTCTCGCTTCATTCGCCCCTTTAAATACTCATACCGCGGTCAAATTCATTTCACAGCACGTGTCTCGTTCTGTCGATGGTACTAAACGTGGCAGTAGGTTCCCCCTGTAGGCACACGTCGCAGCCTACCCCAGCCTCCAGTCCAGACACCGTAGTGCAAGGTGACCAACCATTTTTTGTTGTATTGCTGCAAAGGACGGTGTGAAGTGGTGTTGACCGATGACCTAAACCCCGCATATGGTGGAGGCGCGAACAGTTGGTGGGTGACACTGGTGGCGGGTTCTGCCTCACAAGGGTATCTAGTACGCACCTGAGGAACCTATCCACCGCAACGATGGATACAATCTCTATGGGTGCACGCTTCCATAACAGGCTGTTGAAGGAGAACCCAATAGCACTGTCTTCTCAGGAATTAGGGAACTCACAAGTTCAGGCTGATTTGAGTATCCTTTGAAATCTTGCTCGGGCTCAATGTATATCGTCTTTTCCTTTTTTTTTTTATAGTTCTTGAAATGCCACTTGGTAGCAGAACCCTTCGAGGTCCAACAACCACACCTCTCACCCCTTTTAGGGTAGATTCAAATTGTGGGTGCTCTTTCTGCCACTAAGCTCACCAAAAGGCATTGTTAAATGGGTATATGCATGACCCCTTTCTGCACGTTCCACCGGTACCACGATCTGACAGAAGCATTAACCGTAAATGCTCATCTTGTGGTCTTTCTTCACCAAGAAAATAGAGCAGCATCTCAGCTCCCATATGCTGAAGTGGTAGCTCTCCAACAAACCAAAAATTGATGGATTGTTTATTATGGGCAGGTCAGTGTTGGATTTTCCCATTATTATTGAGGTAGATGGGCTTAAGGAAAAGATGACTGTGAATTTACTTTTGCCTTTCACCTGTCTACTACGCCTGATGGGGGTAGAGGCAGACTCTCACTGCAAGTCTGCACCTACTTCGTACCAAGAAAGCTTAGCATTGAGAGCACGGAGGTAGCGGCATCAATTCGCAGCGGTTAAATTGATACCTGCCGATCACTAAATACCGCTGAATTAATGTCTATCAGCGTGAGGAGGGAAATGCCGCGGAAGGGGAGAGAAGAATGTGGTATGCCTCAAATGACTCCAGACAGCTTTACTGACCACCTAATGCAAGCTGATAGTGACCAGACACACTGCAACGGCCATAGCTGCGATCACGATTAAGAGAGACTAAATCCTCTGATCCCAATAGTAGTGGCAGTAGAAGACACCGGTCATGCCTAAGCTAGCCACTCACACAACGACAATGCCAGTGGTCTTATTCACTATGATGAGGGTCACGGGAACAGCACCAAGGAGGCTGGTAAAATTGGCTTTCAGGAGGGTGTCGCTAGTTGTTGTGTAGACTTCCTTCCATATGCATGTACCAGTAAGAATATGACCAACATCCAAAACTGAAGGGCCAATAGCCATGAAGAAGAGTGTAGCCGCCTCAGCGCTAAGTGGGAGGTATCATCCAAACATACGAAATCTTATTTTGCCAGCAGGGTAAAACGCACTTACTTCTATTTATAGGCTCCTTTTATCCCACACTCATAGCCTGCGGGGCAGAAGAAATACCCACGTCTAGTCCGAGATAGGCCACTTCTTGCTGATGGGTCACATGATTTTCAAGCGGTAATTTAACACGATCCTAGTAAATGGATCAAACATCCGCACAGGGACCGCAAGATTTTCGCATTATGGGTCAGTAAAACCACTAAGAGTAGTTAAAGCAGCTGGTTTAGAAAGACTTCTAGACTAACCTCAGGCAGTAAGAGCAGCTGAATGTGAGAGTAGGGGTTGGAATTCTCGAGAAACCTGTAATATTGCCTAATCATGGTGCAATAACCTAATTACATGGCCTTAGTGGTGTGAGAAATCACCACATCAAGGTTGCACACATCATAACTTGCATGAGGGTTATTAACCGATTGACGGCTGTGAGAGGAGGTGGACTCGTCAACCAGAAGAAAGATGAAACGCGGGACTGCAGCAAAGACACCATTCTCCTGTACATGCTGTGAGTCCATGGAAAAGGAAGACTGAAGGTGGAAGGCAATACAGTGACTCTTGAGGTCCTCCGCCAATTTCATCGGTCAGGCATTTGTCCTTTTCTCTCCAGTTGGCTCATGATTAGACCCTTCCAATTATTCAGTTAAGGATTCCTGATGGAGCAGATTTATATCCACGACAAAACAAAACACTAAGTATGCTTTCCACCCACAATACTTCTACACCGTGGTAATCCTCGATTGTCCTTTGCGAAAGTATGACTTGACAACCAAAATGTACAGTAAATGGTATTGAGCAGATGATATCTTCAAAGATGACACTAAACAATCACTTTAGTTTTGTCCCCATCGTCATGACCGCTATGGAAGCAGAACTTACATGGGCAAGGCTATCAGTGCCAAATTTTATTTGTTCACATTCACCTATGCATATTTCACACAAAAAGGAAACAGGAGTGTTCTCATTAGCCGCTATCAAGCAGGATTTCTATGCTACTAAAATGAAATTAGCAGTGATAGTCAATGGCGAAATTTGAAGAAAATACAACGACAGCGGGCTGTGTACCAAACAATGAGGCTGGGGGAAGGCGCCTATTGGACCCTCGAAGAGCAGATGTTGAAGAAGTTTGCTACCACCTTTTTCTGATAAACTGTTTGACAAGCCACCAACGACGCTGGCGCCCAATGTCTGAGCAAAACAAAGCAAATGTCTTTTATTAATGGTTTGTTTGATACTAATCTTTATTTGAGGAAAGCCCTTCTTCCCCGACGTCATTTTTTGGAGCTGCGACTTGGTTATACCAGAAGTTGACTTTACCATTCGCATTGACCGCAATCCCGTCACCTCTGCTCGTTTCACATTTAACCTTCCACCTGCGGCGGTGTGGATCATCAGATGACCTCCTACCATTCCCAAGCCTTTCGTTGCAGCGCTGCTGGGTTGTTTTGAATAAATGTTTGTCTGAGAAAATAAGCGTAACATAGTCTAAAAGTGGTAATGTCTCCAGTCTCCGCACTTCTTTTCACTGTCAAGTTTGACAAGCATATCTGCACACCACTATCCTATCCACCGCGGTCACAGAACTCACCATTTTTGAGGTGCACATTTCCATCAATTTATCGCCTCCTCTGCAAGGCAAGTAAAAGTGTAGTGCTTTGTTAAATTCTTTAACCCTGTGTTTAGCTAAGCGGCGCTCAACTCTCCACAGATTGTGCTTCTAATCGTCGCCGTGCCAGTAGACTCAGATCCTCTGTTCATCAGTACTATTGCAATACGATAGTGGTTTATCCCCCGGTATGGGTGAGGAGCTACTTTTGTACTTTGAGTTAGCCTTCTTGTACCTCGCTGGGTGGGCTGGCCCTTCGGGCCATGCCAATAGTCCAGACACCTTCTCTGCGCTGAAGTATATATTCTGTCCGAGTATTGTGCCTTCTTTCGTCTTCAAGTAATCTGGAGACGCTACACTATACCACCGGCCATGTTACCATGACTTCTTAAAACTTCAAGGAACACTCATAATGCTGCCTGCATAATAATCTGAAAATTCCATTTTTTTTTATGCAAGGTGCATGTAAACACTTTGCAGTTTCTTCTGTAGATCTCTCGAGGTCCAAAACTTGCATTGAGAAGTCCAAATTCAGGTGGCACTACATTTTCACCCTTAAGGTATTTGTGCCACCAGGAGTACACTACTGCAATAAAAGTTCTTAACAAAAGTAAATGATTTCACAAAACATTTTCTTCTTCATAATTTTAGCTCAAAGGTTACTCCTTGTTGGAATGCATGCCAATTCATTTTTCATTCGGAAAACAAGTTTCCAACATTTACATACTTTTAAAAAGATCACTTATTTTGCCAAATTTTTGATCAAATTGTTGAGAGAGGCACTGGAATGATCGTATCACCCTTTTAAAACGGGCCATCGCCACCATTTAAAAATAATTATGATGTGACTGCATTCTTTGTAATTCGTGGATCGTTAATAGTATATGACATATTACGGAAATAATAAACGTGACCTAAAACATTCACCTCAAACTTCTATGCACTGACGATGCAAGAAGTTAAATCAGCCTGGCATTAACCCCTCCGAGACAGCAGTCTCTCGTCGTCTCCTCGTCATCGTCTCCGCCTTTCACTAGCGATGGAGAAAATCTGTAGGGACTGTCTGTTTTTTCCAGTCAGTGACGCCTTGGGATAAGGTGGCACAGCATTTCTCCCACTCAATATTTAGGGTTATCCCTACCTACATGAGGGCCAAGAAAGGTGTTTGGGAGGAGCGCATAGAATCTGATGTGTTTTCTGAATTTAAGGGCAGAGCAAATTTTATATTTTGCAGTTTTAAGTCCAATTCCACATCTTTCTTGACAGGGAAGAGGTCCGCTGACGTTGCCACCAGTGCTATAAGTTTGATGTTTGCCTCTTACGCATTCGACTTTATGTGCTTCGAAAGGAGGGCTGATTAGGGACCTTTTTATTAATAATATTAGCAAAGATGTACACTGACCAGGGATATGCATGTAGTCAGTTCACTTCTTTCTTCTCAGAGGTAGATGACGTTCTCTCCGTCACGAAATTCGTGTTCGCTAAAAGCCTCTCCCCTGAACGTTCAGGCCAGCACGCATTCCAAAACAGCTAAACTATTCGGACATTGTCGAGATATGATCGACGATGGGGTATGATTGAATTCTTCCTAATTCCTGGATCACTTATACTATCGCATCTGCTGTGGCAATGTACCTCATATGATTAGACCCTCATCAGTGTGACCTGTACAGAACAACCGTGGACAGGAAATGCGCTATGTGTACGCAATGAGCAGATTTGTAATGCTTACATGCGTTGGGTTTCCTTCTTCTCCTCCTCCGGTATTCACCACGCTCACATATTCGAGTTGGCGTTGACAGTTCACGCATATGAAGGAGGGCTCGTGTTCCACTGCGAGGGAACCAAATGCCTGTTCGCGGATCGCCAAATCGGACACCATCTCGATGAAGATGTTTTGATTTGCAGGCAAGAGTAAGCAAGTCCGTGCAGTGTGTATGCGTGG